TGGACTGTAGCCTGTCAGGCTCCTGTGCCAATGGAATTTTCTAGGCAAGAATACTGGAGTGGGCTGCCATTCTTTTCTCCAAGGGATCTTCCCTACCCAGGAATCAAACCTGGGTCTCCTGCATTATAGGCAGATTCTTTACCAACTGAGCCACCTAAGGAATCCTACCCGTGCTGCTTGTCTGAAGACTATGCACTGAATAAGAAGGATCTATAGTGTTCTTGCCTGGAGAGCCCCAGGGACAGAGGGCCTGGTGGGCTGCCGTCTATGGGGCCGCACAGAGTCGGACACAACGAAGCGACTTAGCAGCGCGGCAGCAGCATCAGGTCTATGGTTATTGCATTATGTAGCATGGATACACACATACACGGTCAGGTGCTGAGGGTGGGGTTCCACACCTCAATTTGGAAGTCATGCTGTCCTCCTCAAAGGCAGCATATTCTCATGTCTGAGCCACACAAAGCCCTTTTTATTATATTTATCAGTATATTTTTTACCTCATCTCTCCTCTTAATGCTTTAATTCTGATGATCCCAGTGTCGAAGATTTCTGGTCTCTTCAGGGTTATCTTTCCTGATTCCCAGGTGATTGGCATTTGCAGTATACACAAACATTTCATTTGAGTTTCAAAGAATTGCATCTCACCACACAAAAGTGCTGACAGCTAACATATTTTCTTTATATACAGATGGGCTTGAAGTGGGCATCAAAGATTTGAAAAAGCTTAATGAAGAGCCTATTACATATGTCCAATCAGAAACCATTTTACTAATTTTTAACCTCACTTCTAAATTTTAGCCACTGTGGTTTGGCTCTAGGCCTCTGAGCTCGTATATTGTTTTTATTTCAGTCAATCATGTAATCACAACCCTTCAGTGTTACCTTCGTTGTTCAGATGTAGTAGATAGGATGACAATCCTCTCATAGTGAAATTATTTATTTGTTCTTTTTTGAGCAGTGAGTCAGTGATGGAGTCAATTTTAGGACTCTGTAAATCCAGTTTCTTCTTTCTGCTGTATGCATGTGGCACTGTATTCAGGATTGGATTATTGAATGAGAAGGATGAATTTGGATCTTTATTTGGGTTACAAGGAGTTCATAAAGTAAAGAGAGAACTAGATACCTAGTAAAATAAAACTAAGTGTCAGTCTTTATTGAGCATACAAAATGTACAAGGTATGATATAAATGCCACAATCTGAAAGTTAAAGTGCTAAAATATAATGTTGTGCATTTCCTGGATGGTACTTTTTGTGTCAAGGTACATAATCCATCTGATTTTCAGCTCACATTGAATGGATTCTTACAGTTTATAAGTGTTTTAAAATATAACAGAAAAAATGGTACATATGTTTGGTTTTATTCTTAATCATATAAGTAGATTAAATTCTCTTAGTTCTTCAACAAAATAGTTTTTTTTTTTTAATAACTTTCATCTGTAATTTAGTGTTAGTGTCCTCCCGTAAAGTCCTTGTTTTAGTACCTGCTCTTTGAAATGAACTGTTTGTCAAATTTCCATTAAGCTGAAGGTGAAAAATTAATGAACCACTTACTTCAGATATTTCAAAACTAATGCAAGTCTATTAGTCATGCAATATAAGAAAATCAAAGATGTTGGTTTGTTCAATTACTGTTTAGGCTTCATTCATATTTAACTTTTAAATGCATTGTTTCAGATACTTAATAGAACATTCTGGAGAAAAAAAGGAATGTAGTTATTTATTTTTATTTTTTATCTCAAAAATAATTTTATTTATATAAATACTTTTTGTAACCCAGAGCAGTTAATTAGTGTGTTGATGGGGGTGGGTAGGTTTTGAAGGTTTTGAAAGTAGTTAGCTTACAAAAAAGCACTAATATATAACAAGCATAGGATTAATAGAATTCTGATTAGTTTTCAATTGTACCTCTGCTCTAATTAACAGACATTTAGAAAACCAGTAAGATAGAGACATTGAATTATTTTTCAAGGAATTGTTAATTCATTCCTCCCTCTCTGATTTCTTCCTTGTCTTTCCTTTCCTTTCCTTACCCCGTTAACTACTGAGCTCTTGTTATGATCCTGGCAATGTGCTGGGTATTGTGTGTTATGTAACGATGGGAAAGACTTGCTCCTTTACTTTAAGGAGCTTAGAGGAGACAATCAAAGTGTTTTTGCATATTGATCTGGTAATTAGAAATGCCAAGCACTGAAAAAAAAATGCAGATAAATCACATAGAGCTGAAGGTGTCAGAGAAACTTTCTTATAGAAATGAGTTAAGCTTTAAAGGAAATGTGTATTTCAGACATGTGCAGACATGTGATACATGAGAGAAGCAAGTAAAGTGGAAGAAATGGCTTAAGCAAAACATGGAGGATATAAATCACAGAATATGCATGGGGAGAGTTTAAGTATTAGGATAAGATATATGGAGAGGGATGGTAGGAAATAATGTTGGAAATATCAGGTCTGAGATTGTGAAGGGCCTTGAATGGCAAGTTCAGTTTGGAAGTTCAGTATCTGAATTGAGGAGAGGTGAATCACACATTTTAAGAAGTTGCATTTTGTGTTAGCAACATGTTAGCACCTAACATAACATCCATGAAAACTGCAAAATAACAGATTGCACATTTGTTGCAAATACTGTCTCATTGTCCCTACACACTGGAAGTTTCAAAGGCAATGGCTGAGGGAGGAAATGCATGCTGGGAGAGCCAAAGTGAGATGGCTACATCAGGAGGACCTCCCAGCTGGCTTGCTGAGTGGGCCACACTGTCCTGCCTTAGAGCACCAGCAAGGAGCAACAGCGACTCAGGACAGCAGCTTCCTTGTGGCCTGAAAGTCCCCTTCAGTTGCCCTCAACTGGTTGCATGGCTGCTCACATCTTCTGTGTGAACCACACAGGGCTTGATTCATGGACGTACAACCCATACTCAAAAAGATGCGCACTTGATTCAGTTCCCTGCTATTGCCGTGTTGAAGTCCTTCCTACTTTTTGATCAAGAGTTCCCACAGTGTCATTTTGCTCTGGTCTTGTGAATTATGTGTCCAGTCTTGATACTTTGACATGAACATGGTTAGGAAGCAATGAACTATGTTATGGTCAAAATGCTTGGTCGTATAGCTATATACAAAGGAGTACTAAGTTATGAGACCAGCTTTGTGTTTATACAACAAAACTGATTCTAAGCTTAAATCTTAGTACTTTTTCTTCAAAGCCATGACTTCTGTGGCTGCCACAGCTAAATATGTTTTAGCTTTGTGGTTTTCCTGATGATAAATTAAGGAAAGGCTTCCATATCATATTGTGTCATTAATAATCTGCCTCCTGGAGCCTGGATACCAGTATTGTCGAGTTCTGCACTGCCTGCAGTCCTATCAAATTAAATTCTGAGAAAACCTGTGGCAATTATTTTCTCCAATAAAAGTTCTGAAAAATACAGCTCTGCATTCACAAACATTATTGGCTGCCTGATAGTCATTTCTGTTGTGTATTTCACTTTCTGAGTCAGTATAAATATATATATAAACTGAATAAAAGTGTGTTTTTTTTTAGTTTTTTTCCTTATGTGGAGTTTATTCTTTTCATTCTGTTTATTCTGAATACTTGTGTAATTTTCTCTTGCTTGTGTTACCATAGTTGTTTCTCTCATTTTCATTTAATTTTTATTTTTTCAAAGTTAAAGATGAATATAAATAGAAATTTCTACAAAGCTTAGACACATTTATAAAAATGTGTCACCTTCTCTCATCCTTCCCTGTGTTTCTGCTTTGTCTATATCCCCAAAGCAAGCACTAAAATGCTTTCAACATTTTTGGTTGTTACCTATTTTTCATATCTATCTCACTGCCTCTCAAGAGTATGGTTAAGAGTTGAATTCATTTTTCAGTTGTATCCATTATATTGACTTACCACTATGAAAGATATAAAGATTTCATTTTCTTTCATAGGTTTCCATGTTCCCTCAACCCTGACATTTTCCCTTTTTTCTTTTTTCCTGAAGAATGATGTTTATTTTTGTATTAAAAAGTCATTGTTTACATTTCTATGGGGCTTCCCAGGTGGCTCAGTAGCAAAGAATTTGCTTGCCAATGCAGGAGACACAAGAGATGCAGGTTCAATCCCTGGTCAGGAAGATTCCCTAGAGGAGGAAATGACAACCCACTCCAGTATTCTTATCTGGAAAATTCCTTGGACAGAGGAGCCTGGCCATGGGGTCGCAAAGAATGGGACATGACTGAAGCTACTACTTAGCATGCACCCATGCACACACCTGGAAGGAAGGATTCTGTGCACTAATGAGAACAAGGCATCTGAAGGGTCTTAGCAATCATAACACCATCCCGTTTAAAGGATCGGAGATACCCTTCCCTGTGTCTGTCGTCTCCCTGTTCAGTGTCCCACCTACAGTCTCTGCTGGAAGGAGGACCAGGCGCTGTTCATATTGACTGAATGAGTGAGGGGTTCAGGAGGAGAGACTGCTTCACAATCAGAATTTGACCAAGCCCTGCTGTTTTCAGCCCTTCCTTTACCCCTTTTTTAATAGGTAGCTGATATTGTCAGTTCTCAAGTCTCTCTGGGTTCTACGATCCAAACTGCATTGCTTTTCAGCTTCTTCACTCTGCCAGCTTAGGTTTTGTTCTCCTTGGTCTGTCGTATCGGTTGACACATCTGCTTTCCGGCTTCTAATATCTTACTACTAGTGTGTCTCCGATTCTCTTTGCCTCTATGGATTGATGCTTTTCTATCCCTTTGTTGTCATTTAAGTAGCGAATGGAATTAAATGCCTCTGTACAATCTGCAATCATGAACTAGGTTACATAATGCTATTGGGACTGAATTTTTCTTATCAAGTATCTCAAATCATTTTTAACAAGGAGACAGCATAACTAAGGAGTAAACAAACAAATGAGTTAAAAAAACTTACCATTCATTATTTAATACTTATTATAGAAAACCTGCTCTTCAAGTGTCTTTAATTTGTTTGCTAAGGATTCCATTTTTCTCTTTTGAATACAGGTGGAAGCTTTAGACAAAACCGATCAAACCTCACCTCTCTACTAGTGCAGCCCATCTCAGCATCTCTTGTTGCAAAACTCATCTCTTTGCCAAAGGATAGGACCACAAACGGTGCCTGTAGCCCTCTAGAACTTCCCAGTACTGGTAAAGTATTTAATGTCTTTCTGTGTGTCTTATAGTTTTTATAAGGCCCATGATCAATTTTAATCTGTTTGATTGCATGTTTAGGATTATTCTTTCTCAAAACAAAAACAAAAACATTTATTTCTGTTGATATGAGCTTTTATTTCTCTTCTCTGGCTTTTTGAAAGTAATTCTATAAAGATTGAGAGTTGACCAAGCTGAGAGATTAAAAAAAGAAGAAAAGCATTTTGAACTGCAACTAAGAAAAGCAGCTTTACAAATAAAGCATTTTGTACATTCATGAAAATCTGCTTAACATCAGTTCTCAGTTTCAGCTTCAGCAGGCTTGTTGCCTGCCAAGATTCAGTGGATAGCAGTCAGCTATCTGTGGTATGAAGTCTTTTAGTAGAAAGCATTAAAGCCTAATTCCTGCAATTGACTAAAAAATCCCTCTGTCTTTACGCATCGTTGCTAGAGAGATGCTTCTTATACTGCAGTGCAGTTTGTCAGGCCTTGTTGGACCACACAGGATAAAACTGAAGTAGTTAAGCTACCTGTGGTGGGATGAAAGTCATGGGCTGCATCTTATTTCTGCCTCCAGCCTCAGCATTAGACTTCTAAAGGAAAGACTTTCTTTATATATTGTTAACTTTGTATCTAGTTGGCTGTGAAATTCAACTCCAGGGGTTGGTTTTTGTGTCCAGACCCAGAGGCTTAACTACCCCTGTTTTATCTCATTTGTTTTCTCCTGACAACAAAAGCATAAACAAATAAAATATGTTTTGAAAAAGCCTAGAAAATTAAAAAAAAAAAAAAGGCTCTGAATGCATTCAGAATTGCCCTTTCTTAGAGACAGGTTTTTTAAAGTTCTGTAGATTGAGAACCTCTTAAACTGAATATTGCTTGAACATAGTAGGAACTATAGAAAACAATGCTAAGACTTCGGCCTCAAAATAGGAAAGAAGTTCTTGAGAAGCTTTTTGTTTAGTTTTTTCTATCTTCTAGTCTTAGCCCCAAAATTTGATAATGAGCTCTATTTGCTAAAATATGTAATTAACACTATACTAATAATTTCCTTGTAAGAAAAGCATCAGATGTTGAAAAGATCAGACTTAAGTCCAGATTTAATTAACTGATTGGTTTATTCAATAAACAGTCAGAGTCCCTCCTATTAATCTGTAGAAGGAGATCCTGATTGCCTCAAGCCTATCAGCTTATCACATCAACCATATAATGACAACTGGTTGAAGGGTGATGCAAATTTGGCCAAACAGAGACATGACTCAATCTCTGGACTTTGAGCAATGGCTAATTTTAATGGTAGACCTGAATAAGAAATCATATAGCTCTGGGATATATTGGTCCTTCTGAGGACCTTGAGGGCATAATACCTGACAATGGAACCAAGGTGAAGAAGGGGTATATGAATAATGTAAAGAGAGAGAGTGTGAGAGACAGACTCTTGTCCACATCATTTGATACCTAAATAAAGCCTTGTCTGAAGCCATAGCTACTGAACTACTCATATATATGCCAATACATTCCCTTTTTAACTGTCAACTTATTTGTTTGATTTTCAGTTACTTAGAAACAAAAGTCATGCCACTGATACTGTAAAACTTACACTAAACTAAAGAATATCTGCATGCATATAACAGGCTTAGCAAAGTGTAGTGAAGAGGATGTTACTTATATGGCAAGTCCTGGGAGAATTAAGAAAATTGTATAAGGGATAGAAAAACAAGCAGAAGAAAAACAGATTGTTTGCATTGACTAAATAATTAGATATTGATGCCATTTAATTTCCCATGACCTTATTTTCTGTAGGTCTTACTCACTGATTATATATTGTCAATCTTTGTCCTTGAGAGTCAGTCAATAGCTGGGAATTTGAATTTTCATATATCAATCTGAGCTTGTCATTAAAAACCATGACTGCAGTGAAAAAAAAATTAGATGAGAAAGTATAAAATCCATTAGTATAATACAGAATGGAAAGCCTTAATCATGTTAAAAGAAATATTTTAATATGTTTAAATTACTTTTGATAAATAGAAAAAAATGATTTACTATGATGCATAAAACTTAGCATCATTAGTAAATTTGGATCTAAGTAAATTTGGATCATATATCTTCAGATCATATATCTTCACACATACATAACTACATATAACTCTTATTTCTGTATTCACAATTTTATATGTTCTTTGTTCAAAATATTTTTATCAGAAGAATTTAATCTCTTCTGATTATGTTTATAATTCTTACACACCTAAAATGAATTTTGAAGATCTATATTTCTGATTTGTTAAATTAAAGTATGCATTATTGTCATTTCTTGAACAGTAGTGTAAAAACATGTACTGAAAATATTATCTATAAACTTTGGTCATTTTACAATTTTTTGGCAAATAATACAAATTAGCTCTTGAGGAGACATCCACTAACAAAAAATGTTAGTAAAAATAAGTCTGGCATTGCTGTTTTTTGCATCTGAGACTAATCATACTGTTCAGTGTAGCCAGTGCTGCTCTCTGTGAAAGATCCAGGAGTACGTTGTGCTGTTCAGATAAAAAAAAAATGCCTTGAGCTGTGTGTGTGGGCATGTGTGTATATGTATGTGAAGTAGACAATGGGATAGTCTGGATGGGAATAGCTACCCACTCTAGTATTCTTGCCTGGAAAATGCCATGGACAGAGGAGCCTGGTGGGTTATAGTTCATGGGGTCAAAAGAATCGGACATGACTGAGTGACTAACACTTTCACTTTGGATGTGATGTGGTGTGGCTTGGCTTTTGGAGACTTTGTAAAAGAGAATTCCCCAGTAGATCTGAAGTAAAAGAGAATTGAAAGCTTATTTTAGAGCAGCATGGGCTTTAATAACTTCTAGCCATCAATATGGAGGAAAATATCTAGAAGAACATGAGGAAAAATGTAATTTATTCAGACAACTCTTACAAAGCATTCATATAGGTATGATGGCCACTGTTTAAAAAATTCAGTGAGCTAGACTGCTGTAGGAAAGACTGATAGATCTTGTGACAGATGCAAGCTAGATGTTAGGAATCCCTAAACTATACTGGTGATACCCCAATTTTATGCCTCTTCAAGCTGCCAGTTGCACAGTGAACCTGGGAGTCTGAGCAGGAAGCTGACAACAGAGTAATCTATAGAACTAAAGATCAGCCTTGATGAGCTGCCAGTCTGAAGTCCTCAGACAAAAGGAAGAAAAAGCTTCAGAAATCACTTTGAAGGTCTGTTCATCAAGGGTCTTAAACAGAGTGAACATAGGTGGGAAACCTATTGTCCAAAGTCCACAGAAAGTACAGTCATTTCTCTGTTTCCCAGGGAGTACAGGTTGGGTTTACAGAGGGTGACACAGATCTGTCATTTACCAGAACTTATCGAGTTTCCAGCTTTCCATCCTGACAGCTTTGATTTTGGGAAATGATTTAGCTTGGATCCAGTCTAGAGTTTTGTTTGGTTGTTTGCCAGGAAGACTTAAAGACAAGCTGAAATATACACTTTTAAGCAAAATTCCTTTAACAAGTATTTTCTAACTTTTACTGTTTCTCAGCAATTTTTAGAGGGTCTTGTATTCTTATCACATGTCACTTAAGTACATGTCACTCCTTCCAAATTATGGAAGTTCCAACTAAACTCTGAAGTTTATATATAAATCCATCAGAGCATACCCTACCTTTATATTTTGAAGATCATTTTTCAAAATCCTTTTTTTCACAATGGGTGACCATTGTTATTTACTGTTCTAGAAACTTCCAGAGATTTCTGAATGCCTTTCTGGGTCTATATCCTGCCATTCCCTTCATGTGTCTATAGTTTTTCACCATTATTTTATTCAGTATTATCCACATATGTCTTGCAAGTTGTAAAGCCACAAATTCCTCTAAAACTCCATGTAAGTGCCACCTCCTCTATGCAGCGCCCTTTGGAATTCTACTCCGGTTGGAAGTACCCTGACTCTCTCTGCTATGATTTGTGTATGTGAGTTGCTCAGTCGTGTCCGACTCTTTGCGACCCCATGGACTATTTATTGCCCACCAGGCTCTTTGTCTGTGGGATTCTCCAGGCAAGAATACTGGAGTGGGTTGCTATTTCCTTCTCCAGGAAGTTATTAATGTATGCTATGTAGTATGGGGATATCATACTTTTCTGAGGAAGAGTTAAGCAATGTGAGTTTTTGTTAGAATGTTTTGTTTCTACTTTATTTCTATATGATTTCAATTCTTTCAGGTTTCATTTATAATCCAGTACATAATCAATGTCCCATGAGAATGTAAAAACAGTGTGTACTATATAAATGTCAGGTGTAGTGTTATACATGTCTATTTAAGCCAAGTATCTTAGGTCATTCAAATATTTTGTATCTTATTTTGAGCACTACAATCTCCCACAGTAAGTATCTATTTATTTTATCTTGTAGTTCTATTAATTTTTGATTTATATATTTTGTAGTCATTTCTTAGGTATTTATAAATTCAAATATATCAAATATTCCAGGTTGGCTGAAACACTTATTAAAGTTATCTTTATATCTAGAATGCAGGTCTTAAATTTGATTTGACCTGATACTAATTTAGCTACTTTAGCTTTTAATTTTTTTTTCAGTCAGTGTCTTTATGCTATATCATTTTTTACTTTCAACCTTTCTGTGTCTTTCTTTTTTTAGCATGCCAAAAAAAGCAAATAATTTGTATTTTATATGCATCCAATCTTTTATCTGGAGCATATAACCCATTATAGTTAATGTGATTACTAACATATTTATGCTTATATTTTTCACCTTGATTTGGGTTTCTACTTTGTACCACATATTTTCCTTTTATTTTGTATCTCCGTTTGGTCTTAGATTTTTCCACAATATTTTTTCCTCTACTATTTTAGAAGTTATCAATACTTTTTGTATTCTTTTAGAGTTACCCCAGTATTATTCCTTCTTGGGTATCTCCTCTCCTGCTCTGCTCTATGGTACATCTCTTGGGAGGGAGTGGGACGAGCT